AGCTCTCTGCCTAGATTCATCTGACCAGAGCATGGTCAAAGGGCTTAGTGGGCTTCCATTAAGACAGGTGTTTCCTGAAAAGTGCTTTCTTGCATGTTATCCCTGCCCCACACCCCTCAGCCCCCAGGCTGTTTGGTGTGAAATGCTTCACCTAGCATTTGTGTAGACCACGGCCTGCTACGACACACTACACAGATCCACACTGTGCGGCCTTCAGAGGATACTGTGTTGGGTGAGGGCTGAAGAAACACCTGCCTATGTTCACTTGAATCTTATTAGGTTCATCCTTAGAGCCCGGAAGGGAAAGCATTACTTCATTTCCATTCTCCAGGGACAACAAGGAGAGCAACAGGAAGTAGGGAGGCAAATGCTCTTTATGGGCCAAGGTTCTTTACAGTTCCACTGCGTTTCTCATCACTGGCCACCACGTGGCAAACAGTGCTCAGCTCACCATTTTCTGGCTGGTCTTGTGCTTGTTTGGGGCCATGCTCAGCTGTGCTTGGGGCCTACTCCTGGCTCTGCCCTCAGGGATCAGTCCTTGTGAGGTTCAGGGGACCATGTGGGGTGCCGGGGATGGAACTAGGGCCCTCTCTGCTGTCCTCTCTCTCAAACAAACAGGAGCTGAGGGAGTGGTGGGCTTCATCCTGGAGGAAAAAGCCAAAGTCAGTCCCGGGGCCGGCGGGAAGGAGGACAGGAACAACATCCTTGGGGTTGCCTGCCCTGGATGAGAGGTAGTTGGGGCTTTGTGAGTTGCAGCTTTCCAGGATCAGGCGTTTCTCCCAGAGGCCTCTGGGAACCAGCTGGCTGCCGATGGCTGGTGCCCTCGTGCTGGAATGTGCAAGGTGCGACGGCACCCGGCAATGGAGTCTTGTCAAGGAGCCTGACACCAGCCTGACTTCTCCTCCTGGGGTGGGTGGAGAGAAGTTGGGGTGCCACCCGCCTCCTGGAAATGTAACAAATGGTGCTGATTCCCCCATACCCACCACTAGCCGGCTACCTCAGAGGTGCCCCGAGAAGAAACACAATGAATAAAGGGCTAAAGGGAAAAGTCTGTGAACCCTGCCACCATGGCAGGGGAATGCTAAAGAGTGTGTGTGTGTGTGTGTGTGTGTGTGTGTGTGTGTGTATGTTTGTGTGTGTGTTCATGCATGTGTTTGTGTGTTCATATTTGTGTGTATGTGTTTGTGTGTGTATATATGTGTCTGTGTATTTGTGTTTGTGCTATGCGTGTGTTTGTGTATATTTGTGTGTGTTTGTATGTGTCTGTGTGTCTCTGTGTTTGTGTATGTCTGTATGTATGTGTCTATGTGTGTGTCTGTGTGTGTTTGTGTGTATGTTTGTATGTGTTTGTGTTTGTGTGTGTGTGTTTGTGTGTATGTGTGTGTATGTGTGTGTCTGTGTGTATGTGTGTGTGTGTGTGTATAGTGGGGGCGTTCTCCACCACCCAGCTCAGCCCAGCACAGGGAACACAGGTGGGAACCTCTAATGCATAGACAGGTCAGCGGGTGACCCTGGCTGAGAAGCTCCCGAGGCAGAACGTGTGCTCAATGTACCCGAGGGATGAGGAGGGCAGGGTGAGTGCCTGGGGAGACCAGGGATGGCGGGTAGCAGCCCAGCCTCTGCCCCTACACTGCCCTGGGGACCAGCACAGGCCTGCAGCCCCCACGCCACCCCCTCATCTTAGTCAAGTTCAATCATCTCCGAGAATTTTAATTCTTCCTCCACGCCGGCCTCGCTGCGTGCTCTCCGAGCCCCGTCCCCGCCTGGAGTCCATTAGAGTCTGGAAACGGGATCATCCATCTTCGCCGCCTGTCGCCGCTCTAGGCTCCTCGGGGCTGACAGGCTGTGCTTGGGATGCCAAGGTCACTCAAAGTCGCCGCGGGCTGGCGTCCTGACTGCTCTCCTTGCCGGGTGAGTTAATTAGTGTGTGTGTGGGGAGGGGGAGCACAGAGGGGGCCGGGGGTCGGGAGGGGGAGCACAGAGGGGGCCGGGGGTCGGGAGGGGGATGCCCTGATATTCCAATGGTTCCATTTTGCTTGGGGCCACACCCAGCAGTGCTCAGAACTGACTCCTGGCTCTGTGCTCAGGGCCTGCTCCTGGTGGAGCATGGCTGGCAGTACCATGCAGGATTGGAACCCGGGCCAAGCCATGTGCAATGCCGGCCCCCTTCTCCGGTATTTTAAGTGGGAAGACAGAACCGTCTGGCTATCACGGTCAGTTGTCTCAAGCTCTGAATGTTCAAAAAGGATTGCTTGGGGCTGCTTAAAGAAACATTTTTCAGACTGGGCTGAGCTCGAATTACATGAACACTACTAACAAGTCTCTAACTGGTCAAAGAAGGACCCGTTGAACAGCCAAGATCCAGAAACAACCCAAGGGCCCGAGTACAGAGGTGTGGGAAACCTGCTCTCCACACACTACGGAGTACCACTCAGCTGTGAAAAAAGAGTAGATCTTACAGTCGGCAGTGACCCGAATGGGACTGGAGGGCTCAGAGAAACAGACAAATACTTGTTGATCGGTCTCACTCCAATGTGGAGAATAAAAGAGCAAAGAAAGGGACCGGTTAATTCCGAGTGGGAAAAAAGATGGATAATGGGATCGGGAGAGCCAGAACTGAGGAGGCTTAGAGGAGGGGCAGGGGGTGAGGCTAAGGATCTGGTCTCACTGGAGTGAGGGCTGGTGTGGCAACGCCACAGACCCAAAACAGGTGCACTTCTATACAAACACGTAAAAACAACCCTCCCCAAAAAAACTTAAGTGAAGGGTCTGACGTGGTGAATTACTTAGTGGCCCTCAGACAGGCTGGGAAAGTTAAGAAAGGAAGGGAGTCAAGCACAGCAGAGTGGAGGGGGGCAGGACAGCTGAAATACAAGAGGCACCCCCACATCCTCCCCCACAGGAGGGAGGAGACCCCACCCCCGGGAGCATGGGGCCTCCCAGCACAGACACCAAAAAGTCACGGAAAAGGGGGACAAGGGGCTTCCAGACTTACTTAACATTTGGGGTTTTAGTGTTTGTTTGGGGGCCAAAACCAGCACTGTTCAAGGGGTACCACGCAGTGGAGTGCCAGAGATCAGCCCCTGGGTGGTCACACGCAAAGCGAGTACCTTCCCTAAGGCACTTTGGCTCCTGTCCTCCCCTGACATTTGAAATGCCCAGTCCACTGTCTAAAAGGCAAACTAAGTCTGAGGAAGCCACACAGGAGGAAATACGACCAGTGGGTGGGCCAGGCACTCAGAAGACCCCAAATGCAGGAGGGAAAGAGAACGAGCCCCATGGTGGGAGGAGGGCGGAGTGACACCTGCCAACAGCACCCCTAAGACTCACAACCGCACACTCTGGCAGGGCCAGTGTCCCCAGAGGGCTCAAATCCTACGAGTCATTTTCCAGGGCGCGTTATGGGGACTAAGGGATTGCCCCAACCCACACACTCCTGATGTGTGAAAAGGAAACGATCACAGGACACATTTCCACAAATGATAAATTCATGCAGGGTACGTCGCAGAACTTGTGAGCCAGATTAACGACAGGCCTCTGTGCCCCCGTTTCCACGACAAGAGTTCTGCATCTTGCTCTGCCTGCGAGGAAATCAAGTGTTTTCCAAACACGCCCCACCCCCGACTGTGCTCTGCAGAACCCGCCCCGCCACCAACAAGGCGTTCAAGAGTCCTCGCTGGAACCGATGGCGATGCGTGATGAACAAGAGGAACAAAATGAACAATAATCTGCTAACTTGCAATTAGGTTTTCACACATTTTCCTAATTTACTAGACTGATTTCCGGAGCTGAGTAATATTCGCGTCTGAAACACCGCCCATCTATCAAGCCCGCATGCGTCCCCGGGCCCGCGGAACAATAACACACATCCCACACACGCCACGCTCCCCGCTAAGGGTTCATTCTAAGATGTATTGCAAATGTCATGGCATAACCATCAAAAGAAAGCCCAGCCGTGCTTTTGAGCTGCTTTCGATAAACGAGGCGAAGCTATTGTTGGGACAATTTTGGTCAATTTGGCTTTAACATCATCTGCTCTTCACGGCTCATCTTCTCCAGGATTCTGGGAAACAATCTGGAAACAGGGGCACAAGGCCTGGGGCTGGTGGGGGGTGGGTATATGGGAGGCAGGGTTTTCTGCCACCTGTGACGGGGGCATTCACTGATCCTCACTCACTGCCACTGATCCTTGGGCCCAGCACAGATTGTGTGAGGACCGTGGGGTACAGGGACATTTTTCTGATACCCAGGAAACTCCTAACTGTGAGCCTTTCTGATCCTACAGCTATTCTAATGAGGTTGGGGTTATCCAATCGCCACGTTGGCTCTGGACACAAAAGTAGACTACATCTGGTTCTGGATTTTTCTTTTTCTAAGTCGTTCCCCCCAACTCCATATTTGCTTCAAACTAGGGGTGACTGGGTTTCTGCATTAAGGGGTCACAGAAGCACTGTGGTAAATGATGGTTCCGATTGGAGTAGGGGGGTGGGGGTCTATGAGGGCAGGTGGTGAAGTGGCCAGTGAGGTCTGGCCTCTCAGCAAGGTGTGGGGGATGCTTCCCACTCTGTTTTCTCATGGAGAGATTATCAATTCACTGAGTAACAGTTTCCCCGGGATGGAGGGGCGCTTCCCCAGGAACTCTCTCCTGGTTCTGTAATAAACCGCTAGATGACAATTGTGTTCCTCGTTTCCCTGCACTCAGGGGAGAGAGAATAACATGGCCATCTCACTGTGCCTGGTGAGTCTTGGGCACCATAAATAGCCGATCAAATTTTAAGTCCTTGAAAACATTCTACACAAACTGAGCAGCAATTCCTCTTGAAAACAGCAAAAATAATCTTTAGATCAGAGAGGTGATGACGACATGTAGCCAGTTGAGAGACGTTTTGAGGCGCTATGAGTAAACCACCCACGTCATATGGCAGTCTGGGGAGAAACAGCCCCATCACACGTGCCACAAACCAACCACGTTCTATTTTAGAAACTCAGAGCTGACTTACTATTTGTACGTCTCAGACCGGATGTACTCAAAAACGTGGGACACGCCGAGCTGGAACTGGTCGGCAATGGGGGTGACCCAGGGGTTGTTCTCTGCTTTGAAGACTTGCTTCTGGCCAGTCAAATCCAAGTTTCCTAAAACAGTGGAGTGGGCGAGAAAGGGTGAAAGTCATTTTCTCCTCCCGAACACAAGGCAGGTTTAAGAAGTACTGCTAAGTAATGAAGCTGAGCCACAAGGACTGTAAGATCAACTGATCTGATTTTTAATTTTTTTTTTTTAACCTCACGGAATCACTGGTGCAAACAATGCTAGTGATAAGACATGTCTGGTCAAGAAATTAGAGCCAATGAAAGATGATGAAAGGATGGAAAGAAGGAAGGAAGGAAGGAAGGAAGGAAGGAAGGAAGGAAGGAAGGAAGGGCAGGCGGGCGGGCGGGCAGGCTTACAAATATTGTGACAGGCTTTGGTTTTACTAGGTAGTCTACAGAGATTAAAAGGATAAGATTGAAAGCAGCGATAAAATCAGAAGTTCTTGAAATTCCATCCTGACAATGTTCGTCAATGCCAGCCCAGCCTGATCTAAAGGCGATCTGATCCACCCCATTTTGTTCATCAGCCAAAGCAGAACAGGAACAGAGGAAGATAAGAATATCGTGCAAGAAAAAAGATTATTCCTCAGGTACCAAGCACATAGCCCCGCGTCAGCACTAAACAAATCTCATTAACATAGTAATGATGGAAACTCTCATCAAGAGCTTATCAGCAGATATGCTTTAATTTTTTTTTAAGAAAGCTCTTCTCTGTGTGATTCACCAGCCAGCACTAAGGCCAGTTATTAAGATCACTTTGCAGGTAAAAAAGCGCAGAAGCTGGGGCGGGGGTGGGTGTGTGTGTGAGGGGGGGTGCAGTTCAGAGAAGGACGTTCAGAACCTGGGCCTCGGAGCAAAGCCTTGGCCTGTCCTTGGGCCGGGGGCAGCTCTGTGGGCCCAGAGCACAGGCCTGAAACCCAGCATCGCCTAAGCACTACCGGGCGAGGAGTCCAGTGCCTCTGAGCACTGTAAGGGAGTCTCCTACCCCCAACCCAAACCCATTATGACTCTACAGTGTCTGGTGATGTGCTCTTGTCCTGGGATTGTTTTTGTTTTTTAGGGGGTTGGGCTGATTGAGACCACACACTGAGAATGAACCAGGCAATGGTTGGGAAATACCATAGGGGTGTGGGGGGTGGAGGGTCATTAAGAGAGAGGAGGGTCCATTATGACAACATTAGTTGGAAATGATCACACTGGACAAGAACTGAGTGTTGAAAGCAGGTAACACATGATAACCTTTCAGCATCTGTACTACAAACCATAAAAGGTAAAGGTAAAGGCCCTCCCGTTGATTGTCGATTTGCTCGAGCGGGCCCAGTAACGTCTCCATTGGAGACTTTGTTGTTACTGTGTCTGGCATATCGAATACTCTCGGTAGCTTGCCGGGCTCTCCGAGAGGGGCGGAGGAATCGAACTCGGGTCGGCCATGTTGGCCGCTTGTAAGGCGAACGCCCTACCCGCTGTGCTATCACTCCAGCCCAACCATAATGCCTAAAATTAGAGAGCGAAAGAGAGCGAGGAGAGAAAGAGGAGAGAGGAAAGAGTGGAAAGAGAGAGTTAGAGAGAGAAGAGGTGCCGGCCTTAGAGGCAGGTGGGGTCGCTGGGGTGGCTTGAAGAGATGGGAGAGAAACTGAGCACACGGATGCTGGGAAATTACACTGACGGAGGGATAGGTGTTGAAACATGTATGACAGAAACACTATCATGAGCAGCTTTGTAAGGGTCTATCTCACAGTGATTCAATAAAACAAAGAATAAACAGGGAATAAGCCAGGTTCGGTGGCGTGTAAGGCAAGAGTGCCTCAAGGCCCTGCTCTCTCAGCTGCTATGCAGTACGAGCACGACTCAGCAAGGGGAAGGAAAGAATTAGGTCGGGCAGGGGAGCAGAGCAATGGGCACAGTCCTCTTCCCTGCTGGGCTGCCCTCCAAGGACATTCTCAGGCCCCCACAGTGCCGGACGAGCCTTGGAGAGAGAGCCGCCGCGCACCTGGCCAAAGTCATGAACTCATCCTATCAGTGGCCGTTCAGGACCAGGAAAGCATCTTCTGGGAGGAAAGACACCCCTCAACATCCCAGCTCTGCTGAGCTTCAGCACCCGCCACAGATCAACTCGGAAGATCGTGCACCAGCAGGAACTTTGAATTGCTCTTCGTCAGCTCAAAGACCTCGAAATGGAGGAGGAAGAGGAGGAGGAGGAGGAGGAGGAGGAGGAGGAGGAGGCCAAACCCAAAGTGGCTCCTATTTGAGCCAATGCTTGGGAAGGAAACAAATACCACCGAATATTCAGAGCAAGTCATCTATCACCTCTCCGGCCGCCCGGCACTGCGGGTGCTGGCGACAGAAAGCAGCACAGACACTCCTCTTTGCGGCTCATCAATACTGTCAATTCCCTCATCTGGGTGACGAGACATCATTGAGTCAGATCTTAAAAGTCATTTGGGAAATCAGGGGCCGTGTCCTCTGCACCAGACTTTCTCACTCGTTCCCGGCCCCAGTCGCTTCCAACCTCAGGTCCTTCCCATGCTCCCAGCTGCTCCAGAGCCTCGAGCCCTGGCGCCCCACTGCACCATTTCCAAATGGGGTTCCCCACAGTATCCGGGGAGCTGTCCGGAGGCCCCTAGGGTCCCTGGATGCAAAGCACTGCCTTGAGCCAGAAACAGAGAAAAGGTCTCAACAAAGAAAGCTAGACATACTCCACCAGGCAGGCCTCTGGGCTGGGCGGTCACTAAGGGCTGCCACTGGTCATCCCAAGCTTGATCATCTCAGGGTTCACGCTTCTCCATGAAATGTATCTCGCCAAGGTCAAGAAAGCTCCATCAGGTCTTTTGAGCTTTTTGTTTTCTTTTTAAACCTTTTTCTAACTGAGGGCACATGATTTCCAGTTATTCATGGTTGAGTTTCAGGCATACTATGTTCCTCTGCCAGGGTCCACTTCCCTCCACCAATGTCCCTGATTTCCCTCCCCTTCCGTTTGTTCTGCAGCAACAGTGCCCATCCCATCCACCCCCCACCCATCCGCAGGCCCCCAAGATCTGTCAGCCCCCAGCCATGCACCCATTTCCCAGCTATTGGCGTAGACAGTTGCTAATGATACCGGCTAAACGGAGCATAGAGGGAAAGCAAGAGGCCAGCAAGACCCTTTGAGGAAAAGCAGCTCAGCCTCGTGTTTGGAAGTCAGGGAACCCAGCCAGGGCTGTCTCAGGCTCCTGTTCATCTCCCTTCAAACCCATTGGTACTTTCCAGGACGCGGACGGTGGCGGAGGGGGGCCGAATCCCCTTGTCGCACCCCTTCCCCAATTCCTTCATCTCAGCCATGCACACACGCTTCACAGACCCCAGCCAAACAGGGAGCATAACAGAAGAGAATGATCCGCTTTTACTCTAGTGTGAATGCCTGTGCGTGTGTATGCGTGTATGTGTGTGTGTGTGTGTGTGTGTGTGTGTGTAGATACCAACCCACAGTGTGATGGGCTTTCTGTCATGTACTGACTTATTTACAGGTACATCTGCTCGGCCTGGGGCTCACTGCCAGTCTGTGCTCACAGATCACTCCTGGAGGTGCTCAGGGGACCCGGGTGTGGCACCCAGGGGGGACACGAGCGTGGGTGTCGTCTGAACACTTGGGCTGGTCGACTGCAAGTCGGTGTGCTGGAGGCAGGGAGGGACCCTCCATTGGAGAGAGATGGAATCCACAGAATCTTGGCCCAGCCCACCCATCACTTGCCCACAAGGTGGGCTGTACGGGGTGGGCGAATTTGCTTTTGCCTCACATGCACCCATCCGTGCTGCTGGCACCCTCCCGCACACAGCGGGCATGCAGCGATGTCCAAAGGGGCTTCACGGCTGCCTGGGGAACAGAGGGCACCTTGCTGTGCATCTGAAGGCATCACAGGCCTCGAGCACCCTGCCCCTCCCACCCATCAGGCCATGACCCCCCTGTCTGCTGCCGCATGCTTCAGCGCGTCTAGTTAGGGGCCCGCACCCTCTCCTTTATTAGAGGCTGCCGGCACGCTGGGGGTGCGCTAACAAGGACCAGGCGGCAGGATTAAGCACTGTGACAAAGAGGATCTAATCAGTGCGGGTGCACCCGGGCCGCTCAGACACGGGCTGCCTCCCTCCTGCACGCAGCTGCTAGGCCCGCTCTGAGGCCGGCAGACAGGGCCTCGGGGGAGGCCGGGCTGCGCAGTGATTAGCGATGACCCGAGCCCCGGCCCGCGCGGAAGGCCATCTATCACTCAGGGCTGATTTCTGCCGTTGCAAATTGGATTTGCCATTTTATGGCCTGCGCGGGGGACGGGAATGCCGCGTTCTCCCCGCACCCCGCACACGCCGCACCATGGGGCTGGGGGCGGGCGGTGGTGATTGTTGTCAACACTGAATCATGCGGAACCAGCCTTCTCCTGGCTGGTTATAAATGTGATGGAAGGCGAGGGGCAGACGAGGCCCCCATCAATAAGCCTGCCACGTGAGGAGATGGGCCGCTTTAATATATATGCACGCGGGTAAGAAGGCATCCCCAGCCCCGCCAAACCCAACAAAATGCAGCCCGATTTGTCACGCGTTAAGCCAGCGAGGGGTGGGGGAATGGGGGTCTGCATCCATTTTCCACGCCATCATTTGAACACGCAGGGCCCACATGCTAACGTGCCACTGAGCGCGTTGCATTGGATTCAATTGGATTTTATGTTGGGGGGCAGCAGGGGGGAGGGGAGATTCTAGGGATCCCACATGTGCCAAGTACTCGCTCTGCCCCTGAGCCCCACCCCACGCCCACAGCACAGTGGAAGCCAGGCTCGCTCCCCGGCAACAATCAAAGGCCGCAGAGCGACAGGCCTAGCCCGCCACACACATACTGGCGGAGACCCACCCGGCGGAACTGATTCACTCTCGAGGGGTCTCCAGGGGACAGTGTGACAGCTGACAGACCACTCGGCGCCTCGGGAATCCATGGGCAGAAGCTCACCGGAAACAGCCCCGTGGCCAAAGGGAAGTGACTTTTCTGGGTGGCTCCATGGATGAAATACCTGTGTAAGGTGGAAATG